ATAATCAACCTTTTATTTAAGAATAAAAAAAAAACAAACAAACAAACCTATAGAAAAATGAAGAAAGTTTCTTCTAATATATTATATTAGGGGTTGGACAAGGCTTTGAACTTATAGTTTGTAAAGAGAAAAACTCTGAAATTCTGATATATGGCTGCATGAACCATATTTAAATTGAAAAACATGTAGAAAAAAGTTCACTTTTTAATGGAATCTTGAGGATTTGTTTATTAATTAATTTCCATTTAGATTTTTGGTTAAAGGAATTCTTTCCAATGCTACTTTAGGTATTTTGTAATTCTTTAGAAAAGTTTGGATTCTCTTTGTTTATGGGAGCTTTTAATTTTGCTTTTCTTAATGCAGGTGGAAGAGAGAAATATTGAAAGATAATAGTTTTTGTTAAGGACAACGGTATCCCAAAGTATCCTTCGTGTTTTTACAATGGTACGGGCATAAGCCTCGTGATTTTGCTTTTGGTTTCACCCAACGAACCTCGTACCAATGGAGATAATTGTATTATTTCCAAATCAACGTGGAACTTTGTTTGTATTCTCCAAACTCATCTCTCAACTCCCTTAATTAATTCTCATTTAAAAAGCAAAAACATGACTCAGTCTCAACATTAACTTAGAACACATGAAGAATTGTTTCTATCAACTTTCACATTTATTGCATATTCAAATCATATTTATTTCTTTTTGAAGAAGAGAAATTAAAGGATTCATCATCCTTTTGAAATCAAATTAAATCAATCAACTTAGCCTTTTTTTTCCTTTCGATCACGGTTTTAAAGAACAACATCGTAAATACAGAATTGAAAATTTGAACCTTCCACGTATGGAGAAGACAGTTGAATCATGCTCAAGCTCTCAATTATTCTTATATTTTTTTCAAACCTAAAACATATTCAATAGATTCAACTATAATTAAACAAATACATTTAGTTGAATTGATTTTAAGCAAATTAATAAATAAATTCAAACCATAGTGATTTAAATTAGATATCATTAATAATAAAATAGGTGTCTTGTCTACCGAACAATATTGGAATTAATTTTGAAAAGTTTCCCTTTTATAATGGAAACCCTATTCTTATTATTATTTTTTTCTGTTGATAACTGTAACCTTCGAGTAACTCCTAAGATATTAAATTCTACTAAATATTAAGGTTTGATTTTGATTTAAATAGGTTAACATAGTCAACACTATTACTTATTAACTTGAAAGGGTTGATTTATAATTTTGAATTGCATGTGATGCGACTTTCTTCTACCTCCATGCAGCATTGTTCTATCGGGATTTTGTCCATAATTCTGCACCTTTACTTCCTGTAGAAGCCATGTCTCTGTCTCAGGCCAACTGCTAATAATCATCCTAACAAGTTTTTACCTCACCATCTAGCTAATTAAATTAACTAAAATTATGCACTAAATTTGTAATCTAGTAGCATAAATAAAGTAAATAACTTTCCAAAGAAGGAAAGAAAAAAATTCCACGTGTATCAAAATTTAAAGACCTCCAACAAAGTGGCCAGATTAATACTAAATATCTTAAAATACTATTTCATTTTTAGTTTATTTTGGTCGTCTGCTTTCAAAATGGTCATGTATTTTCAATTTTAATTCATTTACGTTATTTTACTCTTAAAATGTATGTAGTTTAAAGAAATGACTATTTTGATTCCTTAATTTTATTTATAATCTCATTTTTCTATCACAATTTTAATATAATATTATATTTAATATTTTATTGAATTATATTAAATAGTTTCCATTATAAGTAAAATTTGTACAAAAAGTTCGAAAATAAGGACAAAAATTGTCTCTTTTTAAAAGAAAAAAAAATTAACATTTTAAAAGTTTAGCAACAAAGTTTATATACTGTCAAACTGAACATAACTAAAATGGTTAAGACACATATTTCTAATCAAAATGTTACGAGTTTAAATTCTTATCCTAATTGTTGTACTCGAAAAAGAAAGTTTATAGACTAAAATAGGGAGAAAATAGTATTTTAAGCTATTAAATATATATTTTCACACAAGGATGAGCCACTGAGATTAGGCCGCGTGTACGGCCCACTCTTAATTTGCCGACATGTCGTTTCAGTGTCCGTACACTCTGATTTTCTCCTACACGCTTTCTCCCGAAATCTCCACACTTCAACGGTCACCTCCTCCACCGGCCCTATATATTCCCTCCGTTTCTCTCTCTCTAGAACCCCATCGGATTTTCTCTCTCCTGCCCTCTTCAATCAATGGCGTCGCCCAATTCAAAATCTCTGTGGTTCTCTCTGTGCATTCTGGTCCCCTGTTTTGTGTCCCTCTGTGAAGCTTACACCTTCTATGTGGGCGGCAAAGACGGGTGGGTCCTCAACCCCTCTCAGGACTACAACTCTTGGGCTCAGAGAAACAGATTCAATGTCAATGACGTTCTGGGTGAGTCTTAATTTGTTAGATGAATTCGAGTTTTTATTTGATTTGATTTGATTTTGATTGCCATGGCTGATGATTTTTTGATTTGGTGGGTTTGGGTTTAGTGTTCAAGTATGCGAAGGGGGTGGATTCTGTGTTGGTGGTGAGTAAAGAGGATTATGAGCAGTGTAATTTGAAGAATCCGATTGTGAAATTGAAGGATGGGAATTCGGAGTTCAGATTTGATCGGAGTGGGCCTTTTTATTTTGTTAGTGGCAAAGATGGGAGCTGTGAGAAGGGCCAGAAATTGGTGGTCGTTGTTCTTGCTGTAAGGCCTCCTCCGTCGCCGCTGCCGGTCGTTCCTTCGCCGCCGTCGCATTCGCCTCCTGGAGCCGAGTCTCCGAAACCTGGTTCTGGCTCGCCGTCTCCCTCTGGTTCTCCTGGTTCGCCGTATCCCGGAGCCAAATCTCCGTCCGGCTCTCCGCCGTCGGGGACGCCCAGTTCGCCGTCGCCTTCTGGGTTTCAAACGCCGGTGACGACACCAACACCGGCAGGTTCTCCTGGTTCGCCGTATCCCGGAGCGAAATCTCCGTCCGGAGCTCCGCCGTCGGGGACACCCACTTCACCGTCGCCTTCTGGGTCTGAAACTCCGGTGACGACGCCAGCACCGGCTGGTTCTCCCTCTTCGCCGATTCCGGGAGCGAAATCTCCGTCAGGAGCTCCGCCGTCGGGAACACCCACTTCGCCGTCGCCTTCTGGGTCTGAAACTCCGGTGACAACACCCGCTCCAGCCGGTTCTCCCTCTTCGTCGATTCCGGGAGCGAAATCTCCTTCAGGAGCTCCGTCGTCGGGGACACCCACTTCGCCGTCACCTTCAGGGTCTGAAACTCCGGTGACGACACCATCTCCGGCCGGTTCTCCCTCTTCGTCGATTCCGGGAGCGAACTCTCCGTCAGGAGCTCCGTCGTCTGGCTCTCCCTCAGTGTCCCACACTTCGCCGTACGGCTCTCCCGGAGCAAACTCTCCGTCGGGGTCCCCCCCTTCGCCGTTCCCCGGTGGCGCTGCCGGCCCCGGAACATCTCCGGCGGGCTCACCATCCTCGACAGCGTACCCATCTCCAGCAGGCTCACCATCTTCCGGAACAAAATCTCCGACAACTTCACCATCTCCGGCCGGCGCCATAACCCCCACAACAGCTCCGGCGGCGGTACCATTCGGCTCCCCAGTACCGTCGCTACTGCCGCCGGAGTCCAGTGGCCCGGCAAGTTCGCCTCCGTCGCCACCATTACCTCCGGGATCGTCGTCATCAGGATCACCGGGGCCATCGCCGAGTGGGTCAGGAAGCGGTGCGGCGAATGACAGAACAACAGGACCACCGCGATCGTCCGCCATAGCCACGTCTCCGTCAGCAATTTTGTTGGGTACCTTTGCAGTTGTGGTTCTAAGTATGGTCATTAATGGCGGTATTGCATTTACTTGAGAAGAAAAATAAATTAAAATAAATTTCTTACTTTTACTTCTAGGGTTTGTGAATAAAATTGAGAGTAATTACTCCAATAATTGCTTTTTTTTTTTCTCTTTTCAATCATCACACTTCATAGTATTTAAATTAAGCCATTAATGACCAGTGTTGTGTTGGTTTGGTTTGGTTTGGTTTTGTATTTGTAATGTAATATTCTCCCATTTTTGTTCCTCTGTATATGTATATGTATGTGTTCCATGTTGTTGAATTTAGAAGATTCTATTGCATGGTTTCAATTTTATATTTATTTGGTCCCTTTAAATTTTTTCTAAACTTTAATTGGCATTTTTTTAATGTTCAAATGTATTGATAAAATAATAATTTAATGACACATTAATTTATGTTAAAGATTAAGTTTTGGTATGAAGTGTTCTAATTAATTGAGTATTTTTAATACATTAACAATAAATTTGAGAATTTTAATAGATCAAGGACTAAATTGAAAAGTAAAATCTTAAAAGATTAGAAACAGTTGTAGGGAACAAAACGGTTCATAGGAGAATAGGGAGTGGACCGTAAAAGAAGAAGGAAAAATCGTTACCACCGACAACCGGGGTCGACCCAGAGCACAAGGGCCAGCCCACTTGAGAGTCGAACCCCACATCAGCATCGAGAGCTCCTCGGCTTTAGGTCGAGAAGGTTCTCGAGCTCTCTCCCGATCCTAATGTCAACCAATCGATGTTTGAGCTCAAACCTAATAAAAGGGCCCGCATGAATCTCGACCCAGTAAGCCCGACTGTCTAGAGATGACCTAGGGTTGGAGTTCATGAAACCCTAAGGGGAAGATTAATCATAGATAGAGGGGAACTCACTCATTGAAGATAAACTGAATTACACTTCAAGTATCCTGCTTGCTTATTGCTTGTTTAGTGATTCTCTTATAGCTAACTTAGGTATCGGAGCCCATGTGGCAGAAGTCAAACCGATTTAGGGTTATTCAGTTTTGCAGGTATTCGATCCCTTGATAACCAAGTTTGGTGCCCATTTTGGAGAGAATCGGGAAACAAAAATCCAAGCATCAACAGAAATCATTATGTATTTATTTAGCTTATATTTATATGGAGTAATGTAAATGTTCTTACTTCTTTTAAATAACCAAGGTAAATCTAGCTCTGTGATTATTAAAATATACTCGTTTCTTCGTGGTCAGATGTTCGATGTTCGATCCCCATATCTCCATATTATTGTACCAAAAAACCTTCTTTTAAATGAAATAAGATAAAGATTAATAGATGATAATGTTTTAAAAATATATAGATTTTTTATATATATTTCGAATGAAATAATAGGTGTGACCACTCTAAATTTAGAAACTACTCTTCCAAAAATGGAAGAAATTTAGAATCTAATCATCTTTTTTTTTCGTAGTGAACTTTCTTTCCGAGTTTAAGGAGTAAGTTGCATTGCTAAGGTAATGTTAAAACTAAACTTCAAAAAGATTAAATTATTATAAATTTAAAAATACAAAGACTAATTCAGTTCATCATTATTTTTATTCCTATTAATTATGTTTGACAAATTAAAATCAAAATTAAAAAATTGATTTTAGTAAAATTTAAAATCACTTTAAATTAGTTTTTAAAGTATCACTTAAATGATGATTTTGAAAAATCAATTATATTTAAATTTTTCTTTTTTTCAAAAATCGTTCATTCTACCCTTACTTTCAAAAACATGGACGATGGTGCTAAAACAGATAACCTTTTTATTGTTTTTTATTTAAAGATTCACGGGTATTTCTAACTAGATTTTAAATACTCTGTTGGTTGAATACTAAATTATTTATTAATTAATTTTTAGTCAATTTTCTACCTAAGTTTTTAGGGTAAAAAACTTTTACCCTGATCATAACAACCCACTTTGACATCACTCCATTAAGATAACTCATATAGGTTTCTTAGTCCAATCCAAATAAATTATTAAAAAAAAAAAGAAAATCTGAACTTTAGATCAAATTAGTGAAAAGTAAGATCGGAAATTAAACATTTTTTCTTTTTGAGTATGATTGGAGATTAAACTTGCTAAATTATTATTTAACTTTGATAAGCTAGGTCTAGGAATATTTTGGTATGGACCAACATCCTTAAAAATAAATTTAATTAACTCGATATAAAAAATAAAAAAATCAATAAATATAACACGTCACGTTTATTTTCTTTTTTTCTATGGGATTCCAAGCAAAAAACAAAAAAAACAAAAAAGTGTAACGTTATTTAAGGGCCCAAGTTTATAATATAATGTTATTATTACACATCTTTAAATTGGGCAAGTAGTTGTCAAATTAAATGAGACTGAAGACTTAGGCTACCACATACAAAAATACAATTAATTCAGTCAATTTTTTCTTTTTCCTTCCACATTATTGTGTTGACTAGAAGTACTTTCTATCTCTTTGATTTGAACAATTTGAATTCAAAATGATATTTGCTACCAACTTTTTTTTAGTCTTATTTTTCATATTTTATAGAAGAAGTGAGTGTGAAAGTGCTTTTCAAAGTGGAAATTTCAATATTATTGTAATACATATTCTTCCATTAATATTCATTCATATTCTACTTTGGATCTGAAAGTGCTTTTTTTAATGGCATTGGCATATTATTCCTTCACAAATCACAACAACCTAAGTACATACTTTATCTTTAAATTTAAGCTTGCAAAAAAATTGAATCAACAAAAATTAAGAACTTGTTCGATAACGTTCTCATTTCTCATTTTCTCCTTTTCAATTAAGATAAACATAATTGCATTTGGTAACTATTTCTTATTTCTTGTTCATTAAAAAAACAGAAACATGTTTGGTAACTATTTAGTGTTTCTTTTTATCTAAAATTTAAAATTAAAGAAAAGATAAAAATTGTATGTGAAAATTAATTTTTATAATTAAATATTCAAAATTTATGTGTTATATTCATTTTTTTAATATTTATTATCATGCATCTTATAATTCAAAAAATGATAAAATAATACTTTTATTTATGTTTTGGAAAATTTTGAAAATAAAAGAAAAAGAAACTTGATTTTATTTTTCCAAAATTTTTACATGATTTTAGAAATGTTTCTTGAAAATGAGAAACGAAAAATAGAAACATTTACCAAATACTTATGTTTTCAAAAGTTAGAAATAGGAAACAATAAATATAAATATTATCAAATATGTCATAAATGACTCCACTAACTCGTCGACGTGAATTTAGTTCAGGTGAAATTGGTGTAAATAAATAAAAGAATAAATAAAGACTCCACCGACTCTCATGGAAGTTGCTAATTTACTTCTCTTTTAACATTTTTTTAATAGTGTCACTCAATTAGATTTTTCCTCACTAAATAATATTTTTGAAATTGTCTTTTCCTCTAAAGTTCTATCAATTCACTAAATATTAGTAATTATGTTGAATAGTCACCTCATCTTATTTAATTAAAAATCTAATCAACTATATTTAAAGAAAAGTACAACTATTTAATTAAAATTCAAATCTCCACACCTAAGCATGGTTGTACTTAAAAAATTGTAATGAAAGTACTTTATATTTTGCTTAATAAAAAAAGAAAAAAACCTATTTATTTGAGAGCTCCACGCAATTCTTTATCTTTCTTTATTTATACATGATTTCTTTCTCTTTTTGTACAACTAGCATTTTTATTTTTTTATTTTTTCAAACTCTGTTGATAGTTCTTTAAATCAAGAAAATTATCTATAGATGTGTACTTTTTAAAAATTAAAAATAAAATAATTATTGAATAGTCTTTAAATTTTAGAATAATTGCTTGAAAAAGGATAACATATTCTATTCCAAAAATGTTTATGATTTGAGAGAATCAGATCCCACTTAGCTTCTGAATTAACGGTATTTATATGCCAACTGCGGAACTTTCCAATCGATAAATATTATTTTTCTTTTTAGAAAAATTAAGGTTATTTTTGTTGTCTAAATAAAAAAGTTATGATTGGTGTATTGAAAAAATAATCTTTCATTTGTAAAAACATTAAGACATGTAGATGAAATTTTTATTAAATAAAAAAAAGTTTAAATAGAATTAATTTATTTTGGTATTTGAATATTAAAATATTTAATTTAGTTCTTATTTTTATTTTTTAGTAATCAATTTAGTTATTAGCAGTACTTTTTAAAAAAATTATTAATAAATTTATAATATGAGTTCGAGTGTATATATATATATATATAAGACATAATATGTGTCGGTATAAAATCAATAACAAAAGTAATTATTTTTTTAAGATAAAAAATTAAAAGAATTAAAATTTCAAAATAATTACTCTTCAAATGTTAGGGAAAATTTTGAGTTTGGTTATTGAACTTGTAGAATCGTATCTAATAATTTCTAAACTTTAAACGTTGCGTCTAATGAGTTTCTAAACTTTAAAAAGTGTTAAAAAGATTTTTCAACTTTTACTGTTGTATCTAATATATCTCTAAATATTTAATTTTATATAATAAATACTTGTTTTGATTCATGAGACACTTTTCAAATTTCAAAAACTTATTCAACGTAAAAATTTAAAATATTTTAAAGTTTCTATTAGATATAATATTAAAAGTTTGGAGATTAAATTGATATTTTTTAATGCTAAAAATTTTCAGGACCAAACTTGTAATTTGATCTAAAATTTAATTATAAAAGACTTGTAGAATTTAATGAAATTCACAAAATTCAAATCAATTTGAATTTGAAAATGGGACAGCAGTTATGTAACTGCTCCTCCACTGTCTCAGTGTGTGTGTCATGCGGCGGTGTGAGTTACTCCAGAGAAAGATTCTTGAAAAAACACAGAGAAAGAACTTAAAGTTTTATTGTCTCAAAATTCTTCATCGTGAATCGTGAAATTTTTCCGTTCTTGATCGATCTCTGACCGTGACTTGTTTTTCATGAATTTCGCTGCGACGTTACAAGAGGTYAGTATCCTATCCTACAGAAAATCCAACAAGACCAATTCAAATATATACCAATCAAAACGCGAATTATTTGATCCTCCATCCAATTGTTGAATTCTTTAAAAAAATGGCAAATAGAAAAAGTAACGTTTTTTTTTTTTTTTGAATAAAGAAAAAGTAACGTTAGAAAATAGTACAAAGCATTAAAAAAGAGTGAAGAGACACGTGGTGTGAGAAGGAAGGAATAGTCCAATCGGGCCGACAATCATAATCTACAAAAACGCGGAGGGAAGGGCTTTGGATGTGTTGTACACGTGTCGCCATCACGAGAGCCTAGATGTGACACGTCAAAAAATGACCTTTTTTTTCTTTTGTAGCGATGTGTCGGCAGCCACGGATGCGGCTCTCTCTTCCATTTATTTATTATATGGTATTTGAATTTTCTCTCTTCTAATAAATATACTAGTTTTTCTTTCATTTTTGAAACAAAAAGCCTTAAACTATAGTTTTGTTTTAATCCGATTTACATTGTTTTTTTTTTTTGGTATAACCTAGAGTGAAAGATCGAACTCACACCAAATAGTGCTGAGTTATGCTCGCTTTGACGGGAAGTTTATTAAACGTTCTAATAATCATGTAACAAACACCAATATGAGCATAATTTGGTAGTTGACACTTACTCATTTTTGTTTTAAGGTTAGAGATTCAAACTATCATACTCTCAATTTGTCGTACCAAACAAAATGATACAAAAAATTAACATGAATTTAGCTCAATTGATTTAAAATTTAAATTAAATATATGTCTTCTACCTGGGAGTTAGAGGTACGAATTCCACACTTACATATAAAGCTAAAGAAGTAAAATAAATAAAAATAAAGTTAGCAAACACTTTTGGTCCATGTACTTTCGCTAAACTAACAATTTAAGCCCTGAACTATAGTTTATAATGATTTAGTCTCCATACTTTCAAATTTGTAACAATTTAGTCCTTAAATTTTATTATAAAACAATTTAGTCATTGTAATTTAAAGTTGGTAATGATTTTTTTATAAATTAGAAAAATTAAATTGTTATACGATAAAATTTGACACTTAATTTTAATAAAAAATTTTTACGATAGGGAATAAATTGTTACAAATTTTAAACTACATAGACTAAGTGRTTACAAGCTAAAGTTCATGAACTAAATTGTTACTTTAGTGAAAGTACAAGGATTAAATCGTTACAAATTAAAGTTTAGAGACTAAATCGTTACTTTAATGAAAGTATAGGGATCAAATGTGTTTTTTAACCCTAAAAATAATTATATAAGAAAATATTTGTGGTGGTCACTCGATTTAGAGAAACTCCCCACGTTTAAGAGATGAAATTCTCTCAACACTTTCTATGAAATTTCAATAAACTACCATTACAATACCAAAAGATACTATTTATAAACTTACAAGAAAGTAGTTAATTAATTAACTATAGAAAACCTAATTAGCAAATTAAATTAAACCTAAAAGAATTGATAAAAGAACGTATATGTGAATAAATTTTTTCAAATCTCACTTTTCTCTAGCACTTTGAAAGTCCAACGTTTACTTCAAAAATTTCTAACTCGAGTAACAAAAACTTTCCACGCCAAAGCTTCACATGCAACAGACATTGACTGCCACCAAACCCAAACCTTCATTTCTTTAATTATGCCTTCAGTTAATACATTTATTAATTTAATCATCTTTTTTTCTTCTTTTTTGTTGATCGAGAAAGTGATGTGACATGATAAAATATAATGCAAAAATGTTACAACTTGTACATCCAACATCAGTAATATACATATATCAGTAATATATATATATATATTAGTGATAGGTTCTAGATATGCTTTATAATTAGTACACCAAAAATGATATATCTATCAAGAAAAAGTTGACAAATTTGTAAGTGTGGAACCAATTTTTTCACCCATGATAATTACCCTAAATAGAAATGAAAAAATTCGACTTACCAAAATTGTAATTTCAAAATATCATAATGTACTGAATGAATTAGTTGCTTACTTTACTGTACAAAAGAAAATGTTGTTTTATGAAGAAAATAAGATATCTAATAATTTAAATGGCATTCTTTCAAAATTATGATATTCAAATTTAAAACAAAACGAACTCAAATATAATTCCAAGATCTCATTTCATCTTTGCCATACAGTGACAAAATTAGGAGGGTAAGAAATCGAACCAAATCAAACTGACCCGATTGAGTTACACCCGCATAGTAATAATAATAAATAAACAAAATAAAATAAAACGGTGAATTATGCCTCCGATCAACCATACGTTATTGTCCAAGTTGTTTTATGAGGTTGAGTATTTTCAGTGAGAACTTTTTGAGAGGTTGAATAGTTCCATCAACATATTAAATCTTCGAAACTTCATCCTTCTAAGTCAATAATCTGTCTTAATCAGTTAAGCGAATAGAAGAGTTTTATATTATGACACACTAATATCATTAGCCATAACACATAAAAAGGACAGTAGAAATAGAATCATCTAAAAAGAAGCTACACCACCTCTTAAGACAGCAAGAATTTGAGCAAATTCAGAAGCTAACTGGTCAAAAATAAGAGGTTCTAGTGGGGCAATCTAAGTGTACCAAAACCACACTAGTCTCATGAATGATTTTCAACACCATTTCTATCTTCCGTTTCTTCTTTTTTTCTTTCTTTTCCGGGGCGGGGGCATAGATACAGTACGGTCAAGTTTCGAGTGCACGTTCCAGCTGCTTTCAACGATGAAATATAACTCAAAGAAAGGAGGAGACAAGGTACCTTGAGAAAGAATGTCACCGAGAACTTTGCACTCTGGGATGCCCAGATAGCACGTCGTCAAAAGAACCAAAATCGTCGTCGTCGATTTCTCTGAAACAATTTTCAACACATTAAAGGACAGTTAACTGTGCTGCGCAACAGCAGCTTCATACAGTGAAAATACACACAAATAAAAGGATGGTGAAATAATTGTAAACCAACTCAAATCATAGCTATTCACTCTCATAGTTGAGCCATTGTCGGGGACTAAATTCTAAAAACGTCTTTAATTCATGTTGTGCATTACAGAATTAAATCACTCAAACAGAAGTTTTTCTTAAAAGGTACTAAGAATTCAATTCACAAAATTATAGCCAACTACTCATTTATTAACATGGATGGTAGAAGTTGAGGGCGATACGAGAACTCCCTACCTCTCCGGACTCACCCAAGTGCACGACCAAAAACTAAAAACCAAAACGTATACCTCCTTTCCCGCCCAGCGCATATCCATGATATAACTAACTATATACCCTAGGCCAACATATTTATGACTCACAACCCGCACTGAGCCGACCCCTGCTTCACTCTCTCTCTTATGCACTTCTAACAATCAGGGGTCTATCAGGAAGCAAACGAAAGGAAATTAGTCCCATTACTCACACTAAAAGCTACAAGTTGGGAGCTTCATGTAAGTACACAGTTGTTGATGATGTCTAATGGCAACTTATGATATCCCATATTTCAAACTAAAAGAAAATTTTAAGTACTATAGGTAGAGATGGTAGAGATGATATCCCAATAATGGAGAAAGAAAGAGTAAACCTTCTGATCTTGGCTCTCTGACTTTAACACAATTGGTGCTGTAAGGATATTGCTGTTGGCACTCTTAAGGTAAGGCTGCAGCTTCTCCTCCAGCAACTCGTTCAACTGACATGAACATTTTATAACAAAAGTCAATCCACGGTAGACTGACAATTTTCAGCAACAAGTACGAATATTGTCAGTCTTATTATGAAAAGCACGGGTAAATACCAGTGACAAACAAGTTCCGTTATCGTGTTGTCAAACATGTGAAGTTATTAGTTATCACTTATAACGAACTTCATTCCATATTCCTTTGTTTGGTTTCTTCCAAAACACTTCAATAGATAAACAGATGAAGAAACGATGAAATGATAACAAGATTAAATTATTGTAACCTATCAACTTAAGCTTTTGAATTTGCCCATCTGTAACGAAGAATAATAAGAATAAAAGATTAAATGTACTGCGATCTATCTGCTTAAGCTTTTAGGGTTAAAGGTAATTTGATGACTTGATAACTGAGAACTAAAAACCAGTTACTCATTCTAACGGATAACCTTTTCCTGCCGCCATTTAGTTTCCCACTGCGCATCCAAGATTTTGTCAGCAATTTCTCTTTGGGCATTTAGAAGAACAGTCATTTCATAAAATTTTCCTGGGTCTTTAAGATCATCCTGACTCCAAGAAGATGAATTCAGTGGAAGGTTCAACTCCTGCCAATATACCACAGTTAGCATGACCGCAAAAGTCTATAGATCATGGAGAGAGCATCTCCTTATCTTCAAAATTTCTGATGCCAAGGTAAGTTATGTTCAATCCTTAAAACGATTACTTATTCATCCAGCCAACTATAATGCAGCTACTACCAAAAAGAAAAAAAAATGGCGTGATAAGAAGAGCGTAAATGACTGCTCACTACTAAGGCAAAGAATTATGACTATAAGGTAGGAAACTTACCAAATGGAATTAAAAGTTCTTAACAATTACAATCATTTGAACCAGAGATAACAAAACTTTTTTTCTGAAAAGAAATAGATGTGCACATAAAGTAGGGAAACAAGAGAACTTTTATCATTGGTTCAAAGATCTTAAGTTACTTTGCAATAGAAGTTATGTAATTTTAATGTATAAGGTTATATCTATAGGTTTGTTTCTTCTTTTCTCATATAGATTTGTATGGGAGTTCCTTTCTGTATTTTTTTTTTCTTTTCCCCAACTAAGGATATCTCATCCTCTCCCTATTTCATTACATCCTTCTTTCTAATAGTTCCTTTTCTAAGGAACTTTGTAACTATCCTCTATGCCCTCATTCTTTTGTACTGGAGCCCTTTTTTGTATATCTAGTTAGTTTATAGGTGGCTCATATTGTTGAACACTGGATTTTCCATTCAAAAAAATACTTCCTTTTTTCTAATACAGATTCGAGTCTGTAAATGTGAATGTAAATTATAAAGTGTGCCAATTATGGAGACAGTTCAGACTTACACCCCAATTTTCTGGTCGTGGTGGAGGATCCAGCTTCATCACTTCTGCCTCCAGTACCTTCTTGGCCTTGTAGTAAGGGATGTTTTTCACAACCACAGGATCATCCCTGGCTCGAACAGGGTCTATGGAGATCAAGGCCTATTATGAATTCCAGATATCAACGATCAAATTAGATGTGAACCATCTTCCGAGGAGACAAAGTACAATTCAAACATATTTGATGGGAAAGCAGAAGGGAGACAATATTTGTTTTCATGGCAATTAAAAAGTTTGCTTATAATACATATATTTTATGAATAATAATCAACTGGTGCATACGTAAAAATAGTAACAAGTACAAAAAATAAGTTATCAACATATATTATGCCATTTCGTTAAGCAATTAAAGATTTCAGATAATTGTTCCAAGAATGTTTTCCCCCTGGATTTGAGATTACTTAGATCAATACCCTATATTATACAATACTGCAACTGTAGTAGTACGGAAAAATATGGAAAATATGTTATTAATCACCATCTGATGCTCAAAAGACAGGAGAACAAAGTTCGAAACGTATAACAGCTAGTCTCTAGAACTTTAGAAGCAGTATGTGATCCCACTTCCAGAGCATGTCATTGATTTAAGAAATCACATATGCTAATATCTAAATGTAAAGTTGTTCTTACTTCCTGCAAGTACTCCCATCCAGGTTGCCTCTTCGCGACAGCATCTCTGAGTTGATCATATCGCATGGATTCCTAAATACAACCACAAACAATAACAGCTATTAATGGGTGATATTGGCAATTTTCAGATGAACAAGTTGGTTACAATATGGCGTCAAATATAAAACTGTCAAGCCTATATAAGCAAGTGAACAAAAATGATTATCTAAGACAATAGTGAGGGGGAAAACACCTCATAGAGGTAATACACTGAAAAGTAAATATTTTGGTTTAGTTTCTATGTAAGGTCAACGGGCAAAGGTAATTGTAATTGAAAATAAGAGACACCACATTAAAATGAATAATTGAAGTGAATGATAGAACAGTAGGCAAGTGAGCAAATTGGTTCGAACCTTGTACTGCCACCAAATCTTTTGCTTAACATCATCGTCAAAGTTGAATCCCCCAACAATTTGGGGGAAAGTTATTAACCAAAACGTGGCAATGCTGGGGTCCTTCATACTCTGAACTAAATGCTGAAATACCAAAGCCATGACCAAAATATAAACCGTGAGAATGAAAACAAAGCTATTAACTTTAACATCCAATGTTGTGAACTGTTTCCCAGGTTAGCATGCTTTGATAATTTTATAAACATACATGTTTCAGTAAAATTTTCGCCAAGTCAGACATTGGTCATGATTTACTTACCAAGACTACTCCTACTTGAGTACGTGTTCCTTTATGTTTGAAGGAATAAAATAGTCCTTTCCATAAATATTACCTTGAGTAATAAGTCTTCGCCCCAGAAACCCTCATTCTTCCCTAGGCAGCCGATAAGTGCCTCTCTCTCTCCACATTTCTTGTTTCCTAGCACTAATCCCTTTGGTTTAAGGGGTGTTCGTCCCTATTTTGGTGTTATTTGAGGAAGTTCAGGATGATTAAAGGCAAGGATAAAACTTTTCTTCCATCCAAGGGTTGGAATTCTAGCTTAGTAATAGCAGCTAGGTCCCTTCTTTCTCTAGCTTTGAGTTTCCCCTTATTTCCTCCATTTTCATTTGATTCCAAAGCTTGTATTCAGCCCTCGTACTTACTCATTTGTGCAAAAGGAATTTCAACCAAGCAAGTCCAGTTCCTTAAAAACCTCACAATTCCCCTTCTTTGCAGTAAGTAAATAACTGCCTCTCTCCCCTGTATAGTTTTTTGGCTCTTGGACATATCCAATTTTTATGAAACCTCCACTGGATCAGACATAGTCCAATGATTGTTTGTTCTCAGCAAACTATTGTGCACCTCTATCAGCCAGATTTGTTTGGTGTGAGGTCCATCTCACACGAAGTTGGAACCTTTAGTTCACAATTAGTCCTTGGCATAAGCATGTGATGTGACAGTATTTCGGTAAGAGTAGATGCAGTTATGGCTTTTAGTGCATGGTTATTCAGATGGATGACAGCAGCGGAATAACTATTCTTGCTTAGAAATCATAACCGTAGAGGGGTAGAGTACATACTAACCTCATAAGGATATTCCATCTTTCTTAAAACATTATAAGCTTTCCAAGGAGGCTCCATGATCTGCATAAAAGGAACAACAGAATAAGGACTCCATTTTAAACTTTGTATTTTGTAAACTAAAAGATAAAGACGTGCTTTTCCACTGTGCTAGTTTTTAGCATTGAATAAGAAATTGGAGTTATGAGATGACTACTTTTTCTAAGCCTCCAAAACACAAAGTACAAAAACTGTTAGTTTCATTAGTTTTCCTATTGAATCGTAAAAGAAATGAAAAAGTAAATAGCTTTTGATCTAAAAGACATGTGCTTTTAGTTTCGTTCGTGCTGCCTTTTACTAGACATCAAAAAGTAGTTACAGTTTCAACATGTATAAAGTATAATGTACTTTCATGGTTTAAAATATTCATGAAACTTACATCATCTGCTGAGATTCTCACTTGTAATTTATTCTTGCATTCAGGGCAGCTCATTACTCCCTGCAATATATATATACAGAATAATAACATTCTTGTTGGCAAAAGTTGGCAAGTCTAAGCCAAATGTTGCTTGCTTTTCTTCTCAATAATTTCATCCAAGCCAAAAGAATTTTAAAAAGTATTGTATCACACGCATGTTATGTTCAGATTATGTAGTTCAACCACAATTTAGCCAGGTACGTTACCAACAGTTACCAATAGGTTGTAAAAAAGTTGAAAATTGGAATGCTCATCCCCCTCATTACATTTTAATGAAAAAATTTGGATAAGCATGTGCATATAAAGCAAAAATCACATGCATATTAGAACATCTGCAAGCAGCAAAATTTTGAAGGATGAAAAAACCAACGTCGAAATGATAATTAGGTAATAGAAATACTACTGGTTTTCTTATATATATTATTTGAATGTCTACTATGCTTGCGGTGCTTGGAATATGGAGATACTATCCTCACCGTTCCATCACATGTTGGGCAGTCTTTGGATGGCAATGGTGTATGAAGATCCAAGGTGGAAGGAAGGTGAACCAACTCGGCCCGATTATCTGCAATGGCATCTGCAATACTTTCTGGTGTTGCCCTCTCTCCACTGCAGAAAGATTTAATATATGTATTGATGTAACTCAACCAAAAAAAAAGGTAGAAAGAGAAGTATATTGAGGTATGTGAGTTGTCAAATGCATGAAGCAAATCTATGCAATCGCTTTCTTGATCTAGTTCCTCCTCAAGCAACCAAACTTATCCAATAAAAAGTTATAAATTATATTAAAGTTTGACCAAGAGATTCTAACGGTAGATAACCAATATGAATTAAATTTACCGGGCCCATTAACTTAAACTTTTGGGTTGAGTGGTGGTTTATTCATCCTTAATATGGTATCAAAGTAGGAGATCCTGTGTTTGAACCTCTACATTATTGTTTCCTCCACATTTATAATGATTTCCACTTGTTGGGCCCGTGCAATTATCCAAGCCCACAAGTGAAGGAAAGTGTTAGATATCTAATATATGAATTAAATTTACCCAATTCATTAGCTTTTGGGTTGAGTTAGGTGGTGGTTTATTCATCCTTAATAAAACAATTTTCCCTATGGGAAATCAGCGAAAGGGTGCAGGAATAAGTGATCCACATCCTATCCATCCAAGCCACACAGATAGGAGATCTGCTATAACAAACAAAAGCACAGAAATCTTTCCTTGATCATATCATTTGTTGCAGTTTCAGGAGAAGGTGCGATAAAAATTATAAAAAAATAAGAGTTAATTAACAAAGAACCAAACAAAACAAAGAACCAAATGGTTTTGGGCCTCAAAACTTCTTGTACAAAGGCAGCAACAACTGGAGGGAATTTCTCCTTAGATAAATTTTACAGGAAAAAACTAGACATCTTAGTGGTTCACTTTTTCCAAATAAATTCAACGAGACCCTTGTCAAATTAGTTGCTCTATTAGTGAGAATATGCAACAGGGAACTATTTGAAGCCCACCACTATTCTCCAGCTGCCACAACAACCTGTGTAGCTAATGGTTTGGAGGATGGCCGTCAATAGTATGCTATCCGTTAGTGTTGGTGAGGTGAGATATTTAATCTCACTTTTGAGGAGATCTATCCTCCAAACATTATTTCCATTGATAACTGAAGAAATCTATGATTACTAGCAGTATCCAGGCTTCTCCATTACTCTGGACCAAGGTAATAGTCCATGCCACTCTTTTTCATGAAAATGATTTATGTGCCCGCAATGGAAAGAAATATTAATAGGAAGTTAGGTAACCTTTTCAACGCATAGTTTTTAACTTGGTAGTTCACCATTCCTGACCCTCTACACTTGGTACACCGCATCGCTTGCCACCCATTGCAAGTTTGACAGTTCCTGCAATTTAAAGACCAAACTATCTAAGAAATACCAGACATGGAACTGAAAAGTACAACCAAACACAAAACGTAGAAATATGAACACTAGTTGTACATTTAATGTGCATACTAAGCATTGAGTTAGAGAACAACTTACAACCAGTTGGAAAAATAAGCTACGAAGCAACTAAGCAAGCTTTCAGAAAATGTTCAAAACTCTTTTTTACTTTTCCTTTTTTATGACAAAC